ATGATTTTGCAGCCTATCAATTGTGGAGTGATTCCTTCTGCCTGCTGATTTTCCTTAATGTTCCAGACCTCTCAGGGCTACACTGTTGCCATAGGACCATAAGAAATCTGTCTGTCAACAGGTATAGAACTAACACAAAAGTATATTTTAAAAATCTATAGATGTAATGATTTAAGGGTCAAATTCAATTTAAGCATAGGCAAGCATATTTACCATTGACTCCACTAGGAACTTCATCCATTTCTGGTTGGTTTGGATACTGCTATATTTTAACCATATAAATATTTGGAAACCAAAAAGGAGAGTTGCCTGTCTTGCTTTAATATCTATAACTACATTGAAACTAAGAGTTGGGGGAAGGACTAAGTGAGGGGAAAAAATAGCTAATTTAGTCAATTATCATTGTTTAACTACCAAATCTGATGATTATGACTCCTCCTTTAGTATAAGAATACAGACACAGGACATGTTAGTTCATCATCTCCAGACTGAATTAAGTAGGGATATGTATGCTGAGCCATAAAATCTATTAATTCCTAAATAAGATGATGTCACATCACTGTCAGCTTTTARTAATCATTTCTGTTTTTTAGCCAGTAGTCTAGGCCACTGAGAATTTCTAATATGTACAGCTTAGCTATATAAGCTTGCACGACCATCCCTGGCCTATGAATATATCTGTATTGCCAGCAGAAAATCAAGTTTATTGATTGTGTAAGAGCTGAAAATAAAGTGTTCATTTAAAGAAAATGTCTGTGAACTAGAAAAGTGGAGAAGAGTAAACCTAAGGTCACTGAACATTTTTGTCCATTTTGAAAAATTATTCTGTTTCTCTAATCTGTTCACATATGATCTTATATCATCTAGGAATGGCAACAGATTTGAAGATCTCTTAAACAAATCACTAGGTCGAGACCAGAAATTTCCCTAATCTATTTTTAGAAAAAAATGTAGTTGCTTAGACCACAAATTGAGAAAGAAGTGAAGAAAATTATGATTTCAATTCTCACTGTTTAAAGACTCATGCTTAAGGACATTTTCTTAAATCTCTTTCCTTTCTATTTCCTTTTTCCAGGGTTCCTTCCCATTCAAACATCTTCCTAGTTACAAGAAGTAGCTACACTAGATGGTGAGCTCTTTTGCATAGGATAGCATGCTTCTACTATTGCTATCTGGATAGTTACAGGGACTCCAGTTTGTGTTTGAATTAGCCCATATATCTCAAATAGTAGCAACACATTGGAAAGAGCATCTCCAAGCACAGCAGAGAGTTTTATGGCCAAAACTTATTTTTTGTTTATTTTCTGTTGGATCTGTTTGCACTTTTCTTGAAGAAGAAATCAAATTATAAGAAATTTAAAATAGAATTTTATTAACATTGCTACACAAGATTATCTTTAGTATCAGATGTCTAAAGAGGCGTATTTTCATGAAGGTTAATGAAATACTCATTAACCAAATTTTCATCTGTAAAAATGGACTATGATGATACAACATAATATGTAGAACCTTTGCAGGTTTATTTATTGCTGTATAGTTGTCAGTGAGAACAACAGGTCCATATTTGAGCAAGACAGAATTCCTTGTGCTTTGAGAATGTGCTATGCATGAGAGGACCAGCAGGCTCATCCCTGCTATACCTYCTCCTCTCTGTGAGAGGCAAGTCTAGAACATGGCATATTACCTAAAAGCAGATGTCTCATATATGTTTACCTCATTATTCATTTGTTGCCTTCTCCACCAAGAAAGAAATACACTGTGAAGGGGTCAGAAATAAAGGGGCAAGTCAGGGACAGTAGCAGGAAAGTAAAAGAAAAGAGAGACGGAAAGAATTTTGAGACATAATGCAGGGAATGATGAGTTCAGACAATTTTACATCTAGCTTTTAAGTGTCTGAAGATTTTCCACCTCTAATTATTATTTATTTGTAATAGTATTGCTTTGGAAGCATGCACAAGCTAGCAAAAAACATTGCKAGTGCTCTTGATTTACCAATAGCAAAATGTTTCATGATAGTTTCATGAAGAAAATCTTTACTATAAAAACATGTGAACTCATATAATTGGGTGAGACATACTCTTTTGGAATTTTATATACATGATGTTTTAAGTATGTTAGAGACCACTAGAATCTCTAACTAAGTGTAGATATGTCTGGATGTGTATACACAAATATCAAAACAACCAAAGAAATCTGCTTATATTTATGCGAACATACAAGCACAGATGCATACTTTGTTATCTATGTATTTGTTACACACAGAGTGACTAGTCTTCTAATTCTAAAAGAAAAAAGTCTTATTGAAAGCCAGTGTAAAGTTAAGAAAGCAAACTGTGGTATAAAAGCAATAAAAATAAATAATAATAATAATAATAATAATAATAATAATAATAATAAAACAGTAAGCAGAGTATCTATATCAGCCTTCGTCAGAGTCTGGCTCCTATTTCTTCTTCTATTTTGTTGTGCTACAATAATAACAGACCCTCAGGAAACAACAATTTTACTTAGCACAGTTCTTATTCAGAGAAACTCAATCTGTGCTTTATCTTTGAATGCTGTAATAGGAACACTGGGATGAACTCTGGTCTTCTGTTCACTTTCTTTCAGTACTTCAGCATTTTAACCTTTCTTTTTCCAAAGCCAATTTCTCAAATGCATGAGGTGATTAATGAAAGCAGCTTTCTCCTRTGTCCAACAGTCATGTGTTCATCTTGCCCATCTGTCCTTGCATAATTATCATAGTGCTGCTCATGCCAATATTTAGGACCATGTCAGCACTTCTATTACAAACCCCAGTTTTCAGGAGTTTATAATAAGGCTGGTGCACTTGGCATTTGGCCGGAATTAAAGAGAGCTGAAAATCACACAAGTCAGGGCACTGAATCCAAAACATGAGCAGTGATTTGTTTTGGGCTRGGCTCCGTATTTGGCAAGAAAGAGTGGCCGACAGCAAGTGCAAGTGAAATAAAAGAGATCCAAGAGTCTAATAGTACTGCTGAGCTTTGCATAATGTCAGAGAACAGTGCAAAAGCAGGTCCAACTAAGTAAGAAAAGCTTTCATAAGGCAGCCAAATAAGGTTCCATTTCTGGAAAGAGGCCAGTATGGAGAAAGAAAAGMAGAAGAGGTCTCACAGAAGGGCTGAGTATGTAGTGCTCTCAGTGATCTTTGAGTGCCAGCTCATTTATTCATGGAGAAATCCCCTACACAGAGCCATGAATACCTATGTACAGTTCTGCAAAGGAGGACAAATTAGTAAGGTATTTGAAGAAAAATGAGTACGTTTTCAAAAGAGATTGGTGATTCTGAGAGCTGAGCCACTGACAGTGGAATAGGCTTAATTTTGTACTGTGGTATTTAGAATTTTCTAAACTCTAAGCTCCTTTGCACAGCTAGAACTTGTCACTCGAGCAGTACTTTTTAACTCTTGAGTGATTGAAACCCCCAAAACCCTAAGACACATGTGATTATCCAGATTAACAATGAGTGGAACAATGGAGTAAGGCATGCAAATTAAGGTAAAATATGCAAATTAGGCTGTGWGAGCATATCATATTTAGTATTTTTTACAGTCAGAGGAAGTTATGGCATGTAGCAAAGGAAGAGACAAAGGAAAAAAAAGATTGATCTTTAATAAAGAAGAGCTAGCTACAGGCTGAATTAAATGCTTCTAGATATCCCAGAACTAACTGTGTAATAAACACAAATAAAAGAATTTCTAATCTCAAGTGCTCACAGAGACAGTTGTATGAATTTTCATGGGTACAGGAGGTCACAGGTTTGGCTTTGCACTGGGTAGTTAATATTGTGCCAACTTTTGACTTCTTGGCAAGGCTGAGGACTGATTACGCTCCAACATACCCCTCAGTATATATAATAGTATACCATTCTCAGTATATATAATAGTATACCATTCTTCTTTTTTTTTTCTGTAGAAGTAAAAGAATTTAAAAAAAGGTAGGAAATTTGAGAGACAAATTTAATTTCATATCCATAGAAAGCAAATCTCTGAATATAAAGAAGCTAAAATACAGTCTGAAGTTACTATGTGTCTGCTGTTCCAACTGTGTTGACTAATGTYCATTATCCCTACTCTTAATTTTGAATGCCTGTACATTTGCATACTTGCCGGTACACTTACTTGCCCGTATAAGTGAACAGTTACTGTTATCATCTGGCATTGCATACTTTCTCCGATTTCATACTGTCATTCATTTTCATGTAGCATCATATAGATCACTGACTATGGTATTTTCTTGCTTTTGAGCAATTAAAATTAAGTCCTGCTACAACAAATATTTACTTACATCAAACAAAACAGTTTTACTCTAAATTTTGAAATATAAATTAAATTGATAGTTGTCTTATTCATTCTCTGGTGTAATAATATCTCCAAATACAATAAATACACCAAATCAGGCTAATTCTTTTTTATAACAGTGACAATATCCTTTAAGATGTTCTTTTTAATATATACTTATACATAAGTAGTATATATGAAAGAAAAGTAGCTACCACCATGTTTGAACAACTACTTCAAACTGCTAATTTTCCAAAAGTCCTTGTTTAGAAGCATGTGCTTCTAGTTTTAGTGCACAGCAGTTGAACATTTTGGAAGAAGTGGATTACTGTCATTGTCCTTTGTTCACAAAACACAATAAAAGAAAACAAAAGAAAATAAGCCTGTAACTAGATGAAAGAAAGAAGGGGCTATTTACACCTGGGCTGATATTTGTTTATCGACTATATTAAGTGCTCTTACAGCACATGAGCACTGTCATAGCGACAGAGAAAAAAGTTGTGCTGCTAGGACATAGTATTTTACCCCAGAAATGTAAATTTTCTCACAGATGATATGTGGGGAGCGGGGGAAGGAAATTCAAGTCTACCCTATCTCTGCGACAAAATTTTTCATTACTCTGGAATCAGGGGAGCAGCAAACATTATGAAATCACAGTTTTACCTTTCTTTTTCTCCTCTTATAAACTGGCAAATGTAGTCTTCATAGGGATGACATCAGCTTTCCATCTGGAGTATTTCTGCTAAGGTTCAGCTTCAGCCTTATTGACAGTTTTCAATCAGTCCCCTCCCTTATTATTCACCTGGGACAGAGAAGAAAGAATATTTTCTATGGAGTTCATGTGTGCAAAACCCATTCTAGCTCTGTATTTTGTAAAGTGAATGTGAGAGAGGAGACAGATGAATAAAAAGCAGGAGAACTTGTTCCAGTAGGAGTTAAAGTAAAATGAAGAAAATATAGAAAGACAGTGGAGAGAAATAAAACTAGCTTTTCCCCCTTTCAAATCTTGATACTAGAGAATAGAATAGATTTTACTATAAATGACTTTGTCATGTTGCTATATATTTTATTCCATTACTGTATAGTTGATGCCATTTAAAGGTTCTTTATTTAACCACTGAATGGAAGTAATAGAACTGGAAATGTCAATTTGCTCTTCTAGTGTACTAGTGAATTACAACTATGTCAAAGTCTTGTGATTTTTTTTATTATTATTTTATTTTTTCTCTGCTGCCTAATTTTGGGGATACACATATGTTGAGAAACACTGTTTAACAAAACCACATGGCTGAGACCAGACCTTAAAAATGTAAAACCCCAAATTTAACAAATTTGAGAAGTCATTAACAACTGACTTCAGAGTTTTACTGTCACATGTTAAAAATGAAAAGATATCATCTCATGCAAATTATTATTATGGSTATAAATGATTATTTTTTCATTGGCCAAGAAAAAGTTCCATTTACTAAAATAAAACACCCAGATCTTTCCACAGTAACTTTATATTTTACTGTTATTTTAAGTATTAYACAAAATGCCGTAGAATAAGAGCACTATATCTAGGTAAATTTTTATTATCATAGCCAAAAAAAAAATGGTTGTACAAATTAATAGATTTATAATATATATATATAGTATAAACCATAGATATATATATGAATTTTTATATATATATACATAATATAGTATAAACCAATGATTTTTCTTACTCAAAACCATTCAAAAGTCTTTAAAAAAATCTTTTTAAGAAAAAAACCTTGAGGTGAGTAGAATAAAACTTCTACATAAAGAATTTTCCACTGAAAACTAAAGCAATGAAAGTTATGGTCTGTACATATACTCACTGCTAGTCTAACTATCATATCAGTATTTATTTTTTCCAGTTCCATTCACTCCAGTGGTCCTCAGACAGTTCAATGGTAAATACTGGGTCATAGGCACATGGGCAGTCTCACTTATGGCACAATGTGTGCACGGTAGCACATCTTTCTGTAAAGAACCCATAGTACGAGTAGGAAGGTTTTCTGCTTCTTATTTCATAAGGTGAAYTGCTCACAGTTGTTCATGTGCTCAGTGGTTACAGCAAGATTATTTGAAGCTTCAAAGACTCCTTTGACTGTAGACAGATACCTGCATTTATGTGATTTTTGTCCACAAGAATATTTAACAAAACTTCATCAGAGATTACAGAATACTAAGGATTTTATTTTGTCACCCRTAATCTGAAAGCAAGGTCATTAAATTGAGAATTGGAGAAGCTGAACACATCCATGAAGTATTACGACAAAATAATATGTATGCATGCGTGTCTATGCATGCACGTGTGTGTTCTCAAGTATCCAGATAGCAAGAAACTCTCTGCAACTATGTATAACGTCCATGGAGAAAACAGAAGAAAAGGTGAAGATGAAGAAACATTTTTTATGCAATTCACATTATATGTAGAAAGGATTTCTTCAGCATATTTTTTTTTTTTAAGAGACTGGTATCTTTTCATCACTAATGTTAGAAAAAAGAAAAAGATTAAAAATATTCAATCGATTAGAAATCAGGAGCAAGTTTCTTCACCAGGTCTGTATTTTGGCATTGAAACGGTGACTGGAGATAGCAAAGTGTCACCGTGTTTGCCTGCTGGCTTCTAAATCAGCCAGAAAAACTGAGCCGTTGTAAATGGAGTTATGAAAATTTCTGGTAATCCTGCCTTGGAAAATTAAGTTTTAATAGCTACAGGTTACTGCCAGGTATCAGTAGCCTGCCTTCAGGGATTCACATTGAATGGAGTCTCTAACACTAAAGAGAGCTTTGGTTTGACGGCAAGAATATAGCTGCTCAAAAATAAATGATCGTTATAGACCATTAGTGGAAATAACCTAATTTTATTTTACTAGCTGCTGTAAATATTTACTTTGACAACCCCCTTTATCGAAGTACGAGGATACAGTTCTGTGCATGATAAGACTGAAGGTCAATTCTTGTTTAATAAACTCCAAATAAAGAATTATGTGATATATTGTACACATTTCACATCCAGTGATATATTAATGCATCCTTGCACTCTGTATAATCAGCTCAAATTACTTCCTTTAAGGAGACAGAGATTGTTTCACTTGCATCATTTTTTTAACAATTTAAATGCACTATTGGTCAAATGCCAGCAATACAGCTAACATTTAAGGTGAATATTGTATTAGATCTATTGAATTTTGTAATTTTCAATGGCTTAAAGATAAAGGAGAGATAAACAACTTCAGCTTAAACTGCAACATAGCTTTTAAATAATTACCTGTTGATACTACAGTTAAGTCCAATGCCAGAATTGTCAAAGTCTAATACTTGGAATGTTGTATTCAGCTCAAGCATATGTTTCATTATGACTACTCTGTTATATTTTTCTGCTTGCCTATTTATCCTGCAAAATATCACTGAATGTAGGCCATGTTACTACAAGGTGCAAAATATATAAATATAAGCATTCCCAGATCCATATCTGTCTCTCTATTTACCTATCCCCATTTAAAGAATTCTCTTTTTTTCCCCTGCTTAAAATCTTTCCTTTTCTTTTTTTCTTTTGATTTTCATAAACAATTGTTCCAAATTATTGGTTATAAATATAATTGTAAGAAGCCAGCAAAGATTGTCCTTGATTTACTGTGAGCTTTTACCGTGAGAATACACTGAGCTTTAATGTACAGGGCAAGACATGAACCCTTGGCAATTGTTCCTGGCATACAATTTCTATTTTAACAAAGTAAAGCCTATATTCTCTGTATACTTTTATGAATCCAGTTACTTTCTGACATTAGTAATAAACTACTATCCTTCAGTCTACTTAGGCTTGTTGAAAGACTGCTAAGAAGTAATTTTGAAATACTGAGGACCGTAACTTCACACTGATGCCCTTTCCTAGAAAATCCTTTYCTTTTTCTAAAGAAATTTAGCTATGTTTACATTGCAGTCAGGAGATGTTAATATAGAAACTTTTGAGCTAGCTGCATCTTAGGTAGTTTGGATACTGACATGCAGTAGTCAGCAGTTCAGCATGGAGCTCAGGAGGGACTGCTCACCTGAGAGTATGGCTATGTTTACAGGTTGAGTTATGGCACGTAATGCTATAATCTGTGTTGTGCTCACTTCTCCAAAGAGATAGTTTGCTTAAATATGTAGAGATCTCATTTAAAATGATGACATTACTGACCTTCWTCAGCAACTCCTCATTTGTTTATTCAAGCTATGGTTAAGCTTGCTTTTGTCTAGTTTTTCAATTATTCAGTTTTCTTTCAATTCTTAGTTCTYCAAAGAGAGTCAGATTTTAAGGTGATGCATTTTTTCTTTAGAATTTGGAAAGGCTACAGGCAAATGCATATATAATTACCACATATCCACTACAGTGTAGATATGTACTTCCATACCCAACTCCATAAATACATGCATTTGTAATTATCTATGCAATCCAAATATATCTTTTTCTAAAGTTTTAAACTTTTTCTCAATTCATGCTTACAGACATTCCCAATTTTCAATTGCTAATCTTTCCAAGCTAAAAATAATGTTAAAATCTCAGAACTTGATTCTGCAGCTCCAGAGTCAATTATCAAGTCTCCCATGGAATTCAGAGGGTTCAGGACCAATATCAAGAGGTGGAATATCTATAATAAACTCTTTATTYTGATTTTCTGATTTTACTAATCCTTAGATACTAGTGCCACTCTCAGGTAGCTATCTATTGTTAAACTCTGGTCAAGAAAATTGCATCAAAACACGCCCTTTAAGGATTGGCCAGCTATATTTACCCTGTACTATTAAGCATATGGTATCAAGATTGAAAATATAATTCTTATAATTCTAATCTCTAAAGTAATAGAAAGGAATAGAATATGAACCCGTGTATTTGATAAAATGCCCTGCTAATTTATCATTAATGAAAATTGTTTTGGAATATTAGCTGACTTTGTTCATATTGACCACTAAGGAAAAAAAAAGCATATATTTAGAAGTGCTATCATTTTCTTGTTTCTATGACAAATTTCCGGAAGACATGTAGARCGCAGGAGGAAAACAACTGAAATTAGCAAGAACATTGGACTTTTTTCAAACATCCTTAAAAGTCTGCTTCTCTTCTCTGTCTTTGAAGAAATGGTGAGACTGAGTTCCTTTCTCTATAACTTGAAAAAATGAACAAATGCAACTTTTTCTGCAAGAAGTCTGAATCACTTCAAGCTGACCTGAGAGTTGTTCATGGGTTTACAATGGAACAAGTACAGTAGACGCTGAATACTTTGTGGTGCTGCATGAAGGAAGGGCCTCTTCAGAGTCTATTCACCTCTGCCTATGTAGCTATTCTCTGGCCTTGAGGTCTCTAGAATCTATGTATACCTTTACCTTTTTCCTTTTTTTTTTTTTTTGTCTGTGGATCATGGACTGTTTACTATAGTGCTGATGCAGGCTGAAGAGATGCAGGGCCTGAGACGTTTTATCTCTTGTCAGAGCTCACTTCAATTAAATTAATGGATCCATTCAACTCCCTCTTTCCTCTTTCAGCTGCATCACTGCCGAATACATTAAAAAGATCTTAAGTCTCAAGATGGTACATCATGGCATTAGCCAGGGCACTCATTTCCCTCTGTCTTCTTTTTCTGTAAATCAAATAATTAATGAGATCTCTACCTCAATAGAGCACTTCATCAATATTTTGTAGCAATAGAAAAAAAAGATGTGCTTTTTGCTCTTGGAGGAGCTTTTATCTCCGTCTGTGTAGGACTTGGTGGGCAAATGTTGTAATTCTAAAATGACAAAATATTGACTGTTTTTTTCAGTTTGCTCTTAATTTCTGAAAAATCAAAAGGCTTAGGTACTGACCAGTAGATAAGCAAGATATCTTGCCTGCTTCTGTTCTGAAGAAGGGTGTTCTTTGAAGTTTAGGCTCAGAATAAAATTTAAAATGGAATTAATCTCTCTGTAAAATATAGAATTGCAAAGGATTATAAAACTAAGTGCCATATTTTAATGTTGATTTTTCCTATAAATAAGAACATTTTTACATCAATAATGTCATCTATTCGCTTTCATTAAAAAAAAATTCTTTGCAGTGTTAATCCTTTCATGACAGAAAGGAAGAAAAAAACTTTTAAAGTATCTAATTTAATCATTTCATACTTAGAATACAATAGGCAATATAGACCAGAKATTCAGGAAAATTAATAACTTGTCCAATGCTAAATAGCAGGTTTGCAACATACACAGGAGTTAGTTTACCTTTTTTTCTGTTCTAGTCTTAATCATATTGTTCTTTTCTTAAAGTAATTTTAATTCAAAGACATTAAACAGTCTTTATGATTCTGCTGTTGAACTGACACTAATTATTTAGTTGAATACCATGCTTCTTACCGAGAATCATGTACTGATTAGTAATTACTTTTTGCCTTAGGTTATGAAAGAGGAATATAGTAATTTTAATTTAATGATTTGGCTGCAAACTGCATGTGGGTGAATAGGGAACATTTGACCACAATGAAAGGGGAAGAGTCAAATGTAGTCCAACTGAGTTGTTAAAATATAGTAGCAATTTTTACTGAAATGAAAATTTCATTACATTATAATTAGAACAATACCTTTTAATGAAAAGTACAAACATGGAGTACTGGCCTTCAAAAGAATTCCATTAACTGTCATTACATTGCTGTGATAAAAATAGTCCATTCTTGCAGGATATGCATAATTGAAAACCCTAAAACTGTAAATGCACATAAATGCAAACAATATCGCATCTGCATGGGATTCCCTGCAGGAGCAGACATCCTGCAGGCAAGACTCTAGGAGCTATATAGCAATTGATTTTTACAGASTGTTGGTAGCACCACATTTCCCATCCTTCATTTTTCATTGTAAGATAACTTTGGCTGTATTTGCACTGAGGTATCCTCCCTAAGGAATGCTAGCTGGCCTCCAAGACAAGAATGTAAGGTGTCTTGTATCTGACCTGCTCAGGGTTGGCCAACACTGTGGTGTGCACAGGCCAGATCCATAGCGAGCAGCACCTGACCTGGGTCTCCTATGATGCTCTGCCTGTGTTGCATGACATCAAGAGCCTGAATGTGCAACAAGCATCTCTAGATTTTCAGATTCAACTGACAAAAACAACACTGCAAGACACGGCATAGCCCATTACAATGGTGTGTTTGTCACAGAGCAGCGAAGAAATATGTTGCATACTTTACAGCATGGTTTGAAGAAGATTCAAGATACTTGAGGGTAGGAACTGTGATTTTGCAGCATGGCGAAATCTGATGGAGTGTTGTATTTAATACTTACAGTGAGAAATCCAAACTCTTTCAGCCTTACACAAGGGATTCTCCTTAGGGAGTTTGTGGAGCCTGGCTAGCTTGCCAGCAGTGCTGAGGAAGAAGCAGAGGAGCTAATTTATATGACAGTGGAGACACAATGAGTTTTTAAATGAAGCTTACTCACTCGTAACAACAATGTGACTTTGTTTTTTATTTCAGTTCTTTTACCATTTCCTGCTTAGAACTCTAAATTCTCAAGTCTTTTCCCCAATTCTGAATCCAAACTGAAGTCAGTATTTTAATCTATAGGCAGATAGAGATTTATGTTTTATTTGCTCTTTTTTTTGCTGATTAACTTCTGCCTTTAACTCTATCTCCAAAATACTTAAGATCTCTGCTTTGCACAACTCCACTTCCGCACATTTACACTTAAAAAAAAAAACAAAACCAAGAAACGARTATAGAAAGAAGGCATTATAGGTCTAATGATTTAGTATCCTGTACACTGGTGCAGTGACTAGATGAAAGTGTGAACACAGTTAATATAGTGAACAAGGTATAGTATTCAGCGGAGAGGAAAGAATGCATTACTGGCACAATGTTTTGTGCAGGTTGTTTCATCCTTAGAGGAAAAACCGATGGACGTTGAGATAAGTTCCTTCTGGTTCTGGTTGTTTCAGTGAAATATGGAGTATTGTGGTTTTGCTTTTGCATAACAAAATCAAAATCACCTGTGGCTTTGGCCTTACAGCCTATGGAGTTATTTATGTAATTCTAATGTTGCTCAGTTTACTGAATGCTGTGTGCTAGTTAACATCAGATCCATGGGTTATAGAGATATTCAAAAGTCTCTTTTTTTTTTTTCTTTCTTTGAATAGATTTGTAGCTGGTGTCCTTGTGGTAAGAAGCTTGAAACAACATGACCCAACTTTATACTTTGCAATGATTTAAAAATACAGACAGCACTTAAAGAAAACAGAGAGTGCATTATATTTTAAATATCTCAGTTTGGAAGCCAGGTTTATGACCTTTAGGGCTTTTTGGTCTTTTTTTGGTGTATATGTGTGTGTGATTGTATAAGCAATGGGTTTTTTTCAGTCCTCTGCATGCAAAAATGATATTTTTATGGTGCTATTGAAAAATAAACATTTCAAGTTAAATATCTACTGAAAAAAAAGGAAGGATTTGACTACAAATTCTTTGTTGCTGTGGAAACAGCAGCAAAGAACAAAACTGCAAAAATTAGAATTTTTTAGTCCAATATAAGACCTGTACTTGTAGAATGGCTTCTGTATCTGTGTAACAAATCCTGGTACTACTTACATCTCAGACTCTCATTTAGAAAGGTGGCCACCAACAGTTCCTTTACTGAATTGGTGCCAATATGCTGAAGATTCAAAAACTCAAATGACTTTAATGTCATTTCTGGTAGTTGGCACCTTTGGAAAGACTTCCAAGTCTATTACATCAATAGGAAGTAGACTGTTTACTGCTTTATGCAACATGAACTCTCACTGCATTTCAAAGAAAGTGAAGGCAAACTTGTTTGATCTTAATACTTCAAAAATGTCAAAATCTATGAATACTAAGCAGAGCTCCTTAATTCTTGTTGCCCACAAGGAATAAAAAAGATTTTTTCAGAATTATTGGGATTTTTTTCAATTAATGACTTGGTGTTGAATAGAAATATTAAGAAATAACATCGATATTTTCTATGCTAATGGAACATCATATAAAGTAACAATAGACAAATTCATTATTTACTATGTTAAAAATAAGTCTTTGAAATAAATCTGTCAAGAGGGTACAAAAATGTAACATTCTTCCATATGAATATTTTAGAATGTCTAGATTTTTTTCAGCTTTCTCAAAACTTAGTTGTTCTCCATGCTTTCAGGACCAGGGTTGTCGCGCAGAAGGTCATCGATCAGTGACGTTAAATAGCATGACTAATGAACTCATTGTTTATGTGGACTGTGTTAATATCTTTAACTGGAACAGTAAATCCCAGACTGGGGGAGGCTGGGGCTAAACCATAATTTAAGTGCAGTTCCAGAAAAAGATTGAGCCCAGTGTGGCCTTTCCCAAAACTTTTACTCTATACTGCTGTGTGTTTCCTGATGCTATTTGGCTTGGAGTGGTGTGTGGCAGTGCTGGCAGGTTGGAAAGCAGCCCGGTGTTTTTATTCCTAGCCTGTGCAAATGGGTGATTCACCATGTACTTGTTTTCCTTGGCAGCCATTTCAAGAAGTGCCACTTGTCTTCAGCCAAACACTTGCATGTGTGCTGCTGAAGGCTCTCGTGTTTCTCTTGTACATTAAATAATTTCTTAACCTTGCTAATGCTAATAAATAAAATCAGGGAGGGGAAAATATTGAAATAATGACTTGGATTGAGAAGTAAGTATTATTTTGCCTCCTTCTTTGTCCACCCAATCTATTCATTTTCACATATTCATCCTTTGCCCTTCATACCAAAATAAGCAGCCTGCTTTCCAGGAAATGAATTGTTCACTAAAACATCTGCATTGTTAGTTTACTTAATGAAAATCTTACCATTGTACCGTACAAATTATGACACATCTATAAGATTTAGTGCATGTGTAAAGAAAGCGAAAATATATTCCACTGTTGGTTTCTTAATATTCACCTCTTGTATCTAATGAGTGGTTGACTGTCTAAGCCAGACTAACATTCTATAAACATTTTCATGATGACTTTGAAGGGCCAGTTTGTTTTTCTTGGATTACTTCTGTCATCTAAAAATACTGATATTTACTCCCAAGCAAAGACATTCTGTAAGAATTCTTTGCTCAATAAACTATGTCTTCTTTCTGGCGTTTTCTACTATTTCCTTTATTCCTAAAAAAAACATGAAAAAATAAAATTAAATAAAAAAATCAACTTATTTGCTTTTCCAAGTTCCTTGACATAACTTCTTTGACATCGGGAAATCTATCAGCCACCAGTAGATATGTAGCATTGGAGACTAAAATCTCTTATTCCTTTGTATGAATTTGATAGTGGTTCCTGGAAGTACTTAAGAATTGGAGGTGGAAGTCATTTTTCTTATTTAATTTTCTGTATAGTGTAAAGGAAGAGCTTTGTGAACTTGAAATAATGAATGATGATGCTTTTTGCCRCAGGGTACAGCTCTGGGTCAAGCAGAAGAGAAATATGACTGGTGAGCCAACTTATTAAGTTATTGTGTAAGGTGCTGAGGTTCTTATGGGATCTAATCCTAAGTGTGGTAGGAATCACMAAGAGGGATTCTGAACCAGATGAGTCCCCAACGTGTAACCTCCAAACAGTACTATGCATTGCAGCCTTGCATTCAATCTAAGTGGTTTATTTATTTCTGTACTTWTTTTTCAGACTTTTTTTTAAAGACCATAGAAATGCAAAAACTTATGCATATGTGTAACATATATATGCATGTGTGTACACAAATGTATTTTTGTGCTCATGTATATGTGTTTACTAGATATAKTTCATATTTTATTAAGTATTAATATAATGCTTTCTTTTCACCCTCTATCAAGCTTTCTAAAATATGGATTATATTTTCATTTGGCCTGTAATTTTCACATAATTTCTATGGYTATATATAATCTCTCTCATACACATGAGCTACACAAATGACACATAATATGAATAAATTAGAGACACACACAAAATTACCAATGATTTACYATGCAGATAGTGTAAGATAATGTCCAGGTTTTCGGCTGGTGCAAATACTTACACAAATTAGCAGTATATCAACCACTTGAAATAACTGAGTATCTGGCTAGGTTTCTGCAGTGATCAGATTATACTTTCTGTACGAAACACTACCCAGGATTGTGCTGTTATTCTGGAGATAAYACTCTGCTTGGAATTGTTTTGCCTAAAATTAGGTGCAAGCCCAGTGGCATTGCTACAGGCTACCCAAAATCTCTGGTAGAGACTGCTGTGACATCGGACTGCCACGTTACCTATACAATCAGCTGGACACATAAGCATTACATGACTAGATGTTTGCTCAGGCATTCCYGCTGTCCCTTTGCTATTTTGTTCCCGTCTACTGTTTTGTGAGCTTCGATAAAATTGGGCAATTATTGACCTGGTGTTTAGATTTCACTTTTAGATCTAAATCATTGAAAAAGAACCTAAATCCTAAATCTYTCCATGAAGTTAGTATTGATCTGATATGGCCGTTAGCTGATCCACAACCATCTTTGCATTAGTGCACACCACTTTTTGTTCCTCAGTACATGAACTGTAGTTAGTAGTATGTATATAACATAGGGTTAACTGCCTCTTCTTGTCCAATCAAATTTTGCATTATTATTTTGCCACCATCCYATAACTCTGCAACTCCAAATCCCAATAGCCATAACCTTTCAGCTACCTTTTCAATCTTCATTCTTAGTAAAGCAACTTCTTTGGTTATTGTGTTAGAAAGTAAAATATGCTTTTCTCTGACTAGGTTAAAGCACAGCTTCACCTTGCAGTGTAGGGTAGGATCTCTGTTTTCCTGCCGACAAGAGCAAAAGGCTAGGTAGGTTCAAGTAAAAGTGGCTATAGAGACAAAAGGCTTGATCAAGCCTCACAGTTATAGCTCTGTATGCAGTACAAGGTCTAATGTCATCATATGCTGCAAGAGTCACAGTGGCGATTGACCTAGCATGAACACATCTCTTTTTAGACCAGGTAGATCCTTTYTCATTCCTGTTACAAAGAATTTGCACTCAGGACTCTGCTGCTTCACTTCAATACAAATAATAGATAGTAGGAACCTAGACAGCTTGAACTGTGCTTTAACCGTAAGAGGTCATCTGGGYTGTAATGAGATCCCCTGCAATAGCTCTGTTTGTAGCGTAGAAAGGATTAGGATAGGAAAATGCAGTGGATCTGGAGTGAGATGCATACAGCTGCACATTTCTGGCACACAGGTGTTTGTGTTTTTATTTGACTGCTTGCCAATATCAAAGCTAGATTTATTGGAGGATTCACAGAGTTGTTTCAGAGAAAAATGACTTATCCTCTGGCACTAATAATAATCATCCTTTCTCTCATATCAGGCTCTGTTTGGGCTAGAGCTGCTATTCCTTCTTTCCTGCAGACTGAG